GATTTCAACGCGCGCGTTGGGCGTGATGCATCAGCGTGGACAGATGTTATCGGTCCGCATGGCATTGGTTCAGCGAATGCGAACGGTGACAGGCTGCTCTCACTATGTGCTACTCACGGCCTGACGATCACGTACACTCGGTTTGCACTGAGTGCGAGTGATATAGCAACTTGGACGCATCCACGGAGTGGTCACGCTCACCTGCTCGACTATGTCATCGTACGTCAGCGTGATATGCGTGAAGTTCGCATGACACGTGTACTGCGTGGAGCTGAGTGTGGCACTGAGCACAAATCGGTTCGGACCAAACTGTACATATATTTTCGTAAATCGATGTATTGTACTCCCGCCGTGAATCGGCGTAAATTTAATATTCTCTCCCTCGGTACTGTGGCGAAACATACTAAGCTGGAGAAGGCGATGGCTGCACGCCTGTGTGATGTGGAATGCATAGCCACAGTGGCCGACCTGTGGAACCACATTCGCGACCAGGTGACAGCTGCTGCCGAGGAGACCATCGGGCGCGCAAACTATAAGCGGCCTGATTGGTTTGATGACAACAATGTGACGACTGGCGCATTGGTGTCAGAGAAGAATGCAGCATTTGCTGCATCATCATCATCATCATCATTATACATGTCAGCTAGAGATGGTAAAACACCTCCGCTATTGTACCACAATACATAAAGGAAATACATACATACATACATACAATACATAAAGGAAAAATAAATACGACAGTTGAATGCCAGCTGAGCTACCAGCAACGGATACGCATCGTTCCGGTAAGCTACTAGCCGGCTACTAGGCAAAAACAAAAATTTAATTACGTTTTACCCTACGAGATAAGATCGTAGATGGAGGGGGAGGCTAAAAGGGATGGGCAGGGACAAAGAAACTCACAGCAGGAACGCCACTGAGGTCGGCTCCTTGCCATATCAGCAAGTGTATCCAGCCAAACGTGTTCACCGTCTTTTGGACCCCAACCAGGGAGCCGTGAAGCTCCAAATGAGGCCAGCTCCGAAGTGAGGGCCTTCATTCCTCTGGACCAAGTCATCGCTTGGCCACCTCTCCTCTTCTTCCACCCACATCCCCGGTGAGCAAACAACGCACGTCGAGGGAGTCGGTGGGCTGGCATGCGCAACACGTGGCCCAGCCATCGGAGCCTGGTGAGTGAAATGACGGTGCTGAGCGGTTCATTCCCTTTTCCTAGGCCGTAAACAAGGCGTCGAACACGCTCGTTACTCACGCGGTGTTCCCACCAGATGTAAGCCAAACTGCGAAGGCACCGGTGGTCGAACGTAAGTAGCATCTTCATGTCCGCCGATCTTAGGGGCCAGGTTTCGCAACCGTACAGTAAGGTCGAACGTACCGCTGCATTGTACACTCTACTCTTCAGGGCAAGAGTAATGTCGTGCCGCAGCCATAGGTGGCGAAGGTTAGCAAAAGCACTTCGAGCTTTCGATATGCGGTTCGTGATCTCGTCTTCGATCCCAAGGGCGCTGATACAACTTCCCAGGTAATTGAATTTCTGAACGACTTCTAGCTGATCCCCACCAAGGGTCAGCACAGCGGGCGAACCCTGACAATCCTGGAGGAACGCTTTGCACTTCGGTGGTGCAAAGCAAAGCCCGAAGCGACTGACAGCCAGTGCTAATCTGTCCAGCGCGGCTTGACACGTCTGGGAGCTGTCACAGATGAGGGCAATGTGGTCTGCATACTCCAAGTCAAGAAGTCGTTCTCCTGGGAGTAGCTCCACACCTTCCAAGTCATATCCTGTAAATGCAAACTCCATGACTTCGTCAACAGCGAAGTAGAAGAGGAATGGTGACAGCGGGCATCCTTGTCTCACACCGCTGGAGATATTAAAGGGCAGCGACAGCTTGCCCTAAGCCCTCACTCTGCCCGTGCTACGCAAATATAATGCTTGAATAATATTTACATATTTCTCGGGCACACCCTTACTGAGTAAACAATTCCAAAGGGCACATCGATCAACCGAATCGAAGGCACCTTTGATGTCGAGGAACACGACTACGGTGGGCCGCCAATATGTGTGACGGTGCTCCAACAACTGACGCAAGGTGAAGATGTGGTCGATGCAGCCACGACCTCGACGAAACCCGGCTTGCTCCTCACGAATCTGGCTTTCACCAGCGCCAGTCAGTCTGTGGAGAATTATGGAGGCGATGGAGATCAGACTGATTCTTCTATGGTTGCCGCATTCCGAGCGCGAGCCTCCTTTGAAGATGGGAACAATAACGGAGCGGCTCCAGTCGGTTGGGACACTTTCCTGCTCCCACAGTTTCACTAGTAACTCACGCAAAGCATCAACAAGAGCAGAGCCTCCAAATTTGAAGAGGGCTGGAGGAAGATCATCTGGTCCCGCGGCTTTGTTCAACTTCAACAGTCCGATCTCACGTTCGACTTCTGAGCGAGAGGGTGGATCCAAAGGAACAGCCCACGAAGCAGGGCGATCACTCGCCGGCGAAGAATCGAACAACTCCAGCCGATTAAATTGCTTTTCAAAATGCTCAGCCCAACGCTCCAAACGTTTTGACAAATTGTAAATAGGCTGTCCACTCTCATCACAAATTGTTTCACTAACACCAGGCCTCCTGCTGCCCGTTTCCCGTATCAGACGGAATAACTTACGATGGTTGCCAAGGGCAGCGACCACTTCCATCTCCGACGCACGATGAGACCACCAAGATTCGCGGTCTCTCTTCAGGCTAGCGCGGAGTTTTGCCCGGAGCTCTTTGCGAGTTTCATTGTGCTCGCTTCCAGCCGGGATCTGCCGGCGAGCATCTATAAGTTCCAGAGACAGCGAAGAGACCCAATGTCCATGTTGTCTATTAGACATACCACATGAAGATTTTCTTACTGCTAGTAAGGTCTGGCGAACATGTGACCAGTGACCATCAATTGTCTCCTGTGAGCGCTTGCTCAACTCGTATGTTAGCGTACTTTGATACGCATTCAGAACAGCTGGCTTTGTCAGTTGGCTGGTGTCAATGCGCTCACAGCGTCGTCGTGGGCGTCCGCCAAAACGCATCCGCATGTCAGCACATACAAGTGCATGATCGGTGTCCACACATGTGCTCCAAATCGAGCGACAATTCTGGATGCAGCCTCTCCAGCGGTAACTGATAGCAATGTGATCGATCTGCGTGCAAGGCTGGTTCGAGGTTGGTGGGCGCCAAGTCACCCTTCGGCGGGTGCTGTGTCCGAAATTAGTGCTCGCAATAAATAAGCGAGCATCTTCACACAAATGAAGTAACCGCTCACCGTTATCATTACGGGAGCCTACACCGTGCTGACCGCCCAGATGCAGTTCATCAGTGAACAACTTTCCAACTTGTGCGTTCATATCCCCCGCCAGCACAACAGTGTCCGTGCTTCTTCTGTGGCGAAGGAGCTGGGTCAGTTGGCGGTAGAAGTCGTTCTTTACCAAATCATCGCTACAGTTTGTGGGCGCATAGGCAGCGATGATGAATAGACATCTATTAGTCCCGCGCGACTTCGAAGCTTTAAACGAGCCAGCCAATCGGACCGCACACATCCGGCTACTGATTGGAATCCAATCAACCAGAGCAGCTTCAGCCCGGGGACTCAGGGCAATACCAACACCGGCTTGGCCGGTGCTTGAAGCTGCATCGTCACCGGATAGGCGCAAGGAGAAAATACTGCTTGCGTCCCCTGAAGGGGATCGCAGAGTGAGCACAGAGCTCGAGTCTTGCAGGCGGGTCTCTGATAAGCAGCAGATATCGATCGAGAGGGTCTCCAATGTTCGGACAAGTGCTGCCTGTTGACCGATTTGTAGCAGTGTGCGTACATTGAGGCATGCCACTCTGAAGGAGGATCGATGGCTCCAAATGGAAGACGATGAACTGGATCGGATCGCTTGCTTGGACATGGGCTTGTCGACAGGAGAGGAGTGACGCTCCGCGTTCACGTGTGAGGTGAAATTAGAAGGTAAATGTCTAGCAAAGCATGTTGGGGGAGGGCCAAGAATCGGGGGGGGGGGGTGAAAACTGGGGGGATATAAGTGAAGTTGGAATGGGACGGTAAGAGTGAAAAAGCGTAAGAGGGGGAATAAGAAGACGGGAAGGCTTGAGCAGTAGCATCCAAACCCCTATCCACCCTGCTCGATGCAGCAGATAGGGCACCGTTTATTATCCTCTGCGGTGGCCAGAGCATCAAGAAATTGTTTGAAGGAAAATTCATAGTATTGCGTGGGCAGGATACTGTCAGGTTGCCCAGGCCTAGACAGGAGAACGATTAGGATTCTCAACCATTTGCTGCACATGTGGCAGACCCCAGTGACTTGGGGAAGAGTAGTCAGTTTCGCAAACTTCGACGGCGACTGACGCGAGAGCTCCGTCGCATTAAAAATGCATGGTGGACGGAGAAGGCGAAGCAGATGGAATGCTACGCCGAACGCCGCCAACACAAGGAATTCTTTGACTCCTTGAAGACGGTGTATGGACCGAGATTGGAGCCGCTGAGGACACTGATCGATGGTAGTTCAGGCGCTACCTGCACCCAGACTGCAGACATAATGCAGATCTGGCGGAAACACTTTGACTGTCTCTTGAGCAACCGTTCAGAGATCGACTGGCCTACATTGAACGGCCTGAAGCAGCACGATGTGAAGGCGGATCTGGCGGATACGCCGACACTGGATGAGACGCAGAGAGCACTTGATCAGCTGCGAAACGGCAAATGTGCCGGAGGTGACGGGATCCCACCTAAAGTATTGAAACACGGTGGACCCGCGTTGTTGACTGCGCTGCACCACTTGGTGCAACGCGTGTGGATTGAGGAGGAGTTGCCTCCTGAGCTGAAGGATGCCCTTGTGCTACCACTGTACAAGGGCAAAGGTAGCAAGCAATGTTGCACGAATTATCGTGGCATCAACTTGCTGAGTTGTGTGGGCAAGGTGATTGCCCGAATCCTGCTCAATCGCCTCGTCAGTCAGGTTGTGGAACCTAACGTGGCGGAAGAGCAATGTGGATTCCGTTCGGGTCGCAGCACTATAGATATGGTGTTTGCGGCTCGTCAGTTGCAGGAGAAGTGCAGAGAACGACACCAGCCATTGTACTCACTTTTTGTTGATTTCACCAAAGCATTTGATACGGTGAACCGCGAGGCATTGTGGCTGGTGTTGGGTAAGTTTGGTTGCCCGCGTAAGTTTGTAAGTTTAATTGAATGTCTGCACAGTGGTATGCGAGCGAGGGTGCAGCTGAGTGGAGAGACCTCGGATGACTTTGCAGTTGTCTCTGGTGTGAAGCAAAGCTGTGTCTTAGCTCCTGCCCTGTTTAATATATATCTTCATGCAATGTTGTCTTGTGCTTTTGATGCCGCTTGTGCTTACGGTGTTCGTGTGGAGCACCGTATTGATGGTGGGTTGCTGAACATCCGTCGTTTCGGTGCGAGAACTCTAGTCTGTGAGACAACTATCCGTATGTTGCTGTTTGCTGATGGCTGTGCGTTGTTTTCACACAGCGCGGATGAGTTGCAGCACATGACTAGTGCTCTGGCTTCGACAGCGGCCAAATTCGGGCTCACCATCAACACAAGCAAAACTGTCTGTCTCTTTTAGCCTTCACCGGAGGTGCAATCTTCAATATTGCCGCGAATCAGCATTGGTGCTGAAGTATTGGAAACCACCTCCCGCTTCAGCTAACTTGGGAGTG